CAGACTTTACTTCCAAAAGTTAAAATGAAAAGAAACTTACACATTTTTGACGGACCGCACCAGGCGTATGTGAAATTAACGAAGTGAGGTGGGAGAGAAGATATGAGTGAGTTAGATGTACCATTTTCAATTCCTTATCCTTAACCCCACTCTGTGTAGGCTAGACGTCGCTTAACTTAATGCATGCTATCTAGATATAGATGGGTGAGGGAAAAGGCCGACTTAAAGGTGGAAGATACAGTTAGCAATAAAATAATAAATCAAGATTCACTCAACTTCTTAGATGCTGTTATTTCGCATTACTTTAAAGGGTATATTTGGGGGTTAAAGTTTGATATAAATCTAAATGTCTAAAAAATCTACGACGAATTTAATTTGAAGTTTGTTGAAGTTTTGGGTATTTTCTATGAAATAGTCGATTGGAAAAATCATAGGAAGTACATTGAAAGAATAATCCATTTTATATCTAGTCATCCTTTTTATTTTCCTAAACTTCTTTCTTATAGCTTGTTAAGTTGACATCTATTCGTTTGATTCTTGTTCATAAATTAAATTCGTTTCTGTTTTTAGATACCTAATTATCAAGGTTTATTCCAATTCAAATAATTCTATCATCAATAATGATTATTAAAGGGTAATATATTTCAATTTAAATTAAATTATCAATTTAAAAATTTACCTCCGTATTATTTATTTAAACTCACTTCCAGTTGGAGAATATTAGAGGAGAGAATTGGATAGAAGATTACTAACTGAAAATTAGGTCATTCTTTTACAATATTCTATATATTCGTACACATACTTTTTTCTTGTTGATTATTCAGTTGACATCTAATCTTTTGAGTCTTGTTCATAAATTCAACTCGTGACTGTTTTTAGATACCTACCTAATTATTATCAAAGGTTGTTTCATTTTAAATAATATTATCATCAATAATGATTATTAAAGGGTAATATATTTCCATTCAAATTAAATTACCAATTTAAAATTTACCTCCGTATTATTTAAACTCACTTACAATTAGAGAGTCCTAGAGGAGAAATTTGGATAAAACACTACTAAGAGAAAATTAGGTCCCTCTTTTACAATCCATACACATACACACCTCTACACATATCCGAACCCCTATCTATATCTACATCCCTATATCTCCCTATATACCTATGAATCCATATATACACATGGACACATATCTACACGTAAATTATATGTATATTCCCATATCTACACATATACACCTATAGAGAAATACATACACACATATCTACACGCATATCCACAGATACACTTATATATATATATATACCTCCACACACATAAAGTTATATGTAAATCCATATACATATACACATACACACACAAATGCCCATATGTACATCCATACATATGCACATATATACGCATACACACACACACACATATATATATATATATATATATATATACACATACATATACATACACATGTCCACACATACACCCACTTATGCCTGCATTCCAAGATCATATCAATATGAATACACAAAATCGTATAATTTACACATATATTACCCGCTATCCCATATCTATGGCAAGACATATAGGTACCCATCTAGTTATACACGTTCACACTCACAAAAAACCGCTTGTATGCCTCTCTTTCCATATAAACGCATATACATGTACGCATCAAAAAGTATATCAGTGTTCAAGTACAATACCATAGACATATACATACAGTCATGTGTTCGCGCTCATGCGTGCATAGTAATATTTCCAACAGTAAAAAGACCAAAGGTCATTCAATATTGTTCTTCCTATATAGCTATTTTTCAGTGTATTTACTTAGGTTTAGGTTGTTCTTGTGTCTGCATTTAAAAACTAGTTCATTGTGTCAATTTAGCAATAGGTCTGGATCTTTATGTTTGATTATGAGGATTTTCTCTTTCATGCATAAGTCGCATCTGTCTCTGAAATGTTTTGGAGTTCTGGCTCTCGATATTATTTTCCACTTTATTTGTAGGGTTAGGCTACCCTCCAACAAATCCCAATAATGTTTTGACAGTGCCGTTTGGTTCTTTTTACATTTATTTTTGAAGGATTGGCGATGGTTGTACAGTCGGTGTTTCCAATTTCCCGCCGATAATCCTATGTATATCTTTCTCTCCTCAACCTTCTCTTTGGGGAAAATTGTTGCTTCATATATTGTATTCTCCGCCATGCATATTCCTTCAACTGGGTATTCAGATCCTGTCCTGCAGTTGCATGTTGATGTTTTCATTTGGGTTGTATTATGATTTTTTGTATCATGAAGGTCTCTCAAGATTTTACTATTGTGTGAGTTAATAATTCTTTCCATAGTGTTCATGCAAGAATAGCTAATCTTTAAATTCATCTTGTTGAACATCTTTTTTAGAAATGCATTTTTACTAAAGTGTTTTTCTATCAATTTTATGAAGTATTTACCTATATTAATATTAGAGAGGTTACAAAAAGGTGGGTTGAACCATATAATTTCCCTTTTCCTATTTTTTGGGTTTAGTGGATTTTTTATTAACTGACTTGTCTATATAATTTAGTGTCTGTTTAAATTTACTTTTTAATAGGGCTTTATTATATTCCGATTTATTTTGGTTAAAGATGGTTTTACTAGAGGAGAATTTATTTATTCTTGCATTTACTGTATTTGGAATTTGTTTAATTATTGATTTCGGGTGATTAGAGTAGATATTTATATATATGGGTGATTGGTTTTCCTTTTGGAAGGGTTTATAAGTGTTATTGTTCAGATTAAATGTAACGTCTAGGAAGTTTACTATTTTTAAGTTGGAAGAACTTTCGATTTTAAACCCTAGAAATTTGAAAGCTTTAATTATTTTCTTTTGCAGTTGGGATGTTAAAGGACCATTGGTATCAGGTACAGCAACTAATCCGTCATCTCTGTATAGTCCTATATTTTGAGGGTCAAGGAATCTACTTAGGATATCTAAGATGTATATACCTATAAGGTCAGCTATTTGAGCTGAATCAAATGATCCCATTGGGACATCGAAGTTGTCTCTGTCTTTTTAATCCAAATGGTGTTGTTCAGTTTTAGTATGGACTGTCTAGAGTCCATTATGATTTTTATTTCTTCGTCAGTAATATCAGTGTGGATTTTGGCAAAAGTTAAGCTATTTTCTAATAATTCTTTGGAAATTGAGGGGTAGAAATCAACAATATCCAATTGGATAAAAGTAGTTTTATTTTTTGGAACCAGTTAATGGTGTCAGATGAATCTTTCCACGGGTTTAATGGGTATTTTGTTAATATAGATGTGTTTACTCTTTTTAGGGTGTTTTTAGAAAATATTCCTAACTCTGATCTGGAGGGATTTATTAGTCTGGACTGTAGATTATTCTGAAAGTTAGGTTTATGGTCTTTAAACAGTAGGTCTTTTAGATGGGTTGTACCCATTCTATCAGCAATATTATATTTAAATGCTAATTTCGCAGTTTCTTTGTGTATGGAGGATAAGTGTTTAGAATTGTTGTCTTTTTTATAAGAACCAGAGACTTTATTTTGAATCAGATGGTTGTATTCGGAGGGATTCATTTTGTAAATATTTTTAGATTTATCAGCTCTATCCATAGTTTCTTTGAGTTTTTGATATTTGTAATGTCTTTTTTAAGTTTGGATTGGAATGGGTTGTATTTCTTCTGGAAGGATATTTTCTTGATTAACTCAATTAAATCTTGTTCAAAAGGTTCCAATAATTTATTGTTTGGTGGAGTGTTTTGAGATTTAAAGTAAAAGGCATCATTAAATTTTGTGGGTTTGTTTTGGGGATTAAGATAGAAGTGAATCTTCCACCTCATTCATCACCTGACCCAATGGATTTTTAAGGATTTTTAAGGATATATATATATATATATATATATAATGGAGAGGGACATACAGACAGATTTAGTTTTTCTTATACCGAGGATCATATACGCTGTAATATTAGGTTTGTTTTCTATCTGACATCTCAAGATCCATATACGTTTGAATTCGAATACAATAATGGGAATTTTCTGTTTCACCGCTTTAGCGATAAACAGAAGCTGTAAATGGTTTCATTTTACAAGAATCCAAACATTTTACAATGAAAATGACGCTGGATAAAATATGTAGCTTCAGAAAGGGGCTGCTTCGAATGAGATTAAATCAAGAATTGATATGTGTTGTAGTTTTCTTTAAATAGTACCAGGCTCGTTACTTTTTGATCAGACCCCGTAGATAATAAAACGTTATATTAAATTGCATTATGCAAGTTAAGAATTGATCTGTAAGAATAAATGCGTGCGTGTGTTTTGTGCCTATGCCTACACATCTTTGCTTTTATTGCGTATTTCATAAGCAATGTCGAGAAAAAAAAAATAAAGTATGTGAATAAATACCAATTACTACTGCAATTGAAGAAAAGAATAAAATCTGTTCCTCGTACACACGCGTTTATATTTTGTTAGTATTGTCTCGTGTTTTTCTTCATTTTTTTTTTTTTTTAAATACTTTTCTTTTTCATCCCTATCAATGTCTAGGGAAATAATTGTTTGTGACAAGCTGAACTTACACGTAAACACACTAAAATAGATGGCGGAAATAAATTTTAATTGAAAAAAAAGAATATTAACCCAGACAAGATATTGTTTACGGTCCGTGAACTTAACAATGTTTTTTTACTGGCCTTGTATAAAATGTTATGTTGTTTCACATTTTTCTGGATTTTTCAACTCCATTTTTTTACAGCTTACAAACCTTTTGCAGGTTATTTAAAACTAAACAATATTTTTAGACTGCAACAATTTTTTAAGCTAATAATGATTTACTGATACAATTCTTATTAATTAACCCATAAATGGGGGTTAGAAACGGTGGATTCATACGTTTCCAATGATATTTACGCGTGAGTGAATATAAAGGACCAGACTGGAATCGAAACTCGGCTCTCCAATTTCCAATTCAGAGCCGTACATTGCCCCACCTGTACATCCAACATTGCTGTACTTAATATTCCCAAGAGGTCCTCCATCTACGTACTGGCCAGGCTTGACGTTGCTTAACTTCAGTGATCGTACGGGAACCGGTGTTTTGCCGTTATTTGGCCGTAAGCACAACTCTATATGGAATCTCTAACAAATGTTTGAAATTCAGTAAAATTAATATTAATAACATTTAATAAAATATAAATTTAATAAAATTAAGATAAAATTAAACCTGTGTTATATTTGTTCGTCGATTAAAACCTGCTGAGAACAAAATACGCTAAGAGAGAAACTGATATGCCTGACATCTGTCAAGGTAGAAAATAGGTGTTACAGCTGTTAGTGTGATCCACCTAATTACTTATCCACTCTATCCTCCCTAAGAAACCTTAACCCAGTGGTTCCCAAACTGTGCGGCGCGTCTCATAGGTGAGGCAGAAGATGATAGCAGGTGAGGCGGAAGAGGATAGCAGATGAGGTAGAATGATTGAAAGACAATCAAAGATTTAGAAACAATTTCAAAAAATTAATATACCAAAAATAAATATGATTTCAAAATTTAAAATATTATTATGGATTACTTTAATTCAATGTATGAGTTCCAGTATAAATAATTATAAATAATTATTGACCGATTTTATCATTGTAATACTTTTGCATTATTTCAAGTATTAAGAATATAGTAAGTAGGACCCGCAAATTGGTGGAGAGAGTTATCAATGATAATGTTTTGAATTCGAATCTGCAGTTATCTCCCTTTTTAATCATTTTTATTTTTTTAAATATAATTTTTATCACATAAAATCTGGTGACGCGCGAGCAGATTTTCATTCCCAAAATGCGACCCCGAGAAAAAATAAGTTTGGAAACTACTGCCTTAGCCAATCAATAACAAAATGAAATTATATAACCATTAGAGCACAAAAAGTAGCGTTATGCTTTTCACTAAAATGTAAATGTATGCAGCTTTAGTCAAGATTCGAACTCTGATATCGTACCTCGCGATTTATTTTATTTTATTTTTTTTTTTTTTTTTTTTTTTTTTTTTTTTTGACAATTTATTTAGTATTTATTTCCAGACATGAAATCATGAAAGATTGGCAAGATGAATTTATTGCAGATATTTTCTGTCACAGTCACTCCTGCTTCAGTTAAAATTTAGAAGAAAGCAAAAAAATGTTTGTGTAAAAACTGTGATCCCCTTGATTATTTATCTGGAGGTAGGGATCCACTTTGATATTAACAGCATTTATTCTTTTGGATTCTGTGATGAAGTGATTACTAACAATCAATACATTTAATCAAATTAAACTATTTACAGGTTTGGGAATGAAAAGTAAAGATTCAGTCAGGGCTCTGAACATGACCTGAGAAAATTCTCTCTATTCTCTACAATCTTCTATGCGCTTTGCCCGTTCAGGATGTGGGCGATCATGATTCTCCACATCACCCTGAACTTTGTAGCTCTCAGCAATGTTTATCTTTTTGCTATCTCTCCTAATCCCTGCTCTGCCAACTATTTACACGAGCTCGTTAGGTAGGTCATTCCTCTCTTTCTTCTGTCCCACTTGCCTTCAACATGGTCATATGAGTGTCAAATTCTCTAGGCCCTCTTTCCTCATTATGCACCCGAGAAATTTCAACGGTATATTTTCCGATTCTAAGTGTGTGTTCTCTTTGTTTCCATGTTCTCTAAAACTTCAACATTGCTCACGTGTTCAGTCTATAGTGTTCTCAATATTTCTGTTGCCTCAAGTCTCTTCATCTGCGAGATTCTCCAGTATTCACTACCTTATAGAAGGACCTATATTAAGTAACAGTACTTTTCCTGTATTTCTAACGAAATTTTCCTTTTTCTTAATACTTTACTTAGATTTTGGAAGGCATATTCTAATGCATCTTCGGATTTCGATGTCACATATTCCGTCCTCCATTAAAACACTTCCAAGTGTTTACTTTTAAATAAATTTTTGTCCTTGCTTGATTTTGGTGTCTCCAGATCACGGTTCACATACTGAGCTGTTCCTTTTGCTGATAATCATATGAACACTAATGGATATTTCCCAATCCTCATAAATACATCGGACACTGTTGTAAGTTAGGGGCATAAATACATTGAATACTATTGTAAGTGGGGGGAGGGTAATATGCTGTCTAAGTAGTCCACCACTAGTAGTGGTTTACCTACTTCACGCCGCTGGCGAGTATTGTATTTTGTTGATGTTATAAAGCTTACCATTTCATTTCGAACCCCCGTTTTGGTTATTCTCTTTCAATAACCCTTCCTAAGTTACAACACATATATTCTGTCTTCTTGAAATTGATGCTAATTCCTTTCTTTTCGCTTTCCTTTACTATCTTTTGTAGGAAAGACTGCAGTTTACTTTCTATGCTTGATATTAACGCTGTGTCATCTACATATCTTATGTTAAGATTGTGGTCGCCAATAATGAATCCTAGTAGAATTTCTAATTCTCTCGGGATCGCCTTACTGTAGTGTTTGAATAGGTCCGGTGAGAAGACACATCTTTGTCTTTCACACCAAATATTTAATTTCTTTTTAATGCTGTCCTTTCAATGCGACCATGTGTCTCCACAGATTTATTTGCCTTTTTAGCTGTGAATTGCCATGGATTCTTAGTCAAGATAATGGCGTAGCCTTCTAAATAGTTTTGGACTTAGAGTAATCTGTCTATTAAACAGGCTACAAGTCAAGGCTAAAGATCTCCTAACCTGTGTCTTAACCCTTACCTGCGAAATGGGTATTGACATATGATCTGAAAAAATATTATTCACCCTTAATTACTATCTCTAAATACAAATTGAGCTTATGGCCATATCACGTTGAAACATCGGTTCCCGTCCGGTCACCGAAGTTAACGTGTCTAGTAAGTCAGCAATGGATACAGACAGACATATATATATATATATATAATATATATATATACGAGTTGGGATCAAATATGGATCTGAATCCAACAAATTAACATAACAAATAGGAAACGTTTATCAATCTAACATGTTTCACTTTTGTTAAGGCTTCATCAGAGAATGAGATATGGAGAAAAGGAAGAAATAAATTCTCGTACTTTTAATTTTATCTTGTTGGATTTTTGTTGGCCAGTCATGTTTCATGTCTATCCGACTCTTTAAATCGACGTTAACATAATTTGTAGCGTTCCAAATTCAAGAACAAATGACGTGTCCAAGAATATAAAGAAGTTAAACGTTATCTAAGAGCCGGTGTCTCCGAACATAAAAGAGATTTACGTTTAATCAAACATTCAAATCCTCTCGTAATACATAGAAACAAGACTGGTCTAACCATAGCTTTGATTTTACTAATGCCATCCTAATTAAAAAAAAAAAAAAAGAATTCCTTAGGAGAAAGTACTTCAAGAGCCTGCTAATGACAATATTACTAACTATAAACACACGTCAAAAACATCATATTACATTGCCAACGTTTATTGACTTCATTCTTAAAGAATCTAACGTGTTTATCTAAAACGAACGGTAAGTACGTAAAAACACCCCAAACCAAAATGCGAAAAAACAATAAACATACACACACATACACACACTTACAAATATATATTATCATCTGATTTCATACCGACTAACTAGAATTTTTTATACACAAACATGTATATAGCAATACTTAGTTTTGTCAGGAAGGCTTGGAATCCATTAATTTCTTGAAACTTCGGATAAAGACCTCGTCTCTCCTTGAATTCGGGACGCCATAAATTATACTAATATTGGTTTAAAGAGTCGAATGCAAGTGAAACATGATTGATCAATAAAAATCAAACACCGGAAAAGTAAAAATACCAGAATTTCTATTGTCTCCCTATGTAATTCTCTGAAGATTTATTAAAAGTGAAACGTTAGAATTGATAAACATTTTATTATTTGTTATATGTATAATGTACCTCCACATGATGAAAAAAATGTCCCAAACTTAATGAAAAAGTTTTATCGTCAAAATTAAGAGGAAAGATCAAAGTATCTCTTACGTTTTTGATTAAGAATCTTGCTTTTCTAGCGTTAGTGGATGGACTATAGATCAGCATAGAGAATTTTGGCGTCTTTTTTTGTGGTGAAAAACACATTAATTTGGAAATTTTTGCAAAAATCAAAAAATTGTCAGATTTTAATTAAACTTTCAGGACTTATTCAGGAATTTTATTTTTTTACTTTTGTATTATTCTATTTATTTTTTAGAAAATCTTGGTAAAAATAGCTCGAGAAATTCAACGAGATAATTTTTAGTGGCTACATTAGTTAAAAAAAGAACTCTTTAAAACATCAATTCTTTTTTTATGCGGACCAAGTCTTAAGGGAAAAACTGCTCTGAATCACAAAGTAAAAATGCGATAAAACTAAGACATTATTTAATTAGAAAACCTTTTAATTGCTTTTTATGAATTATATATATTAAGGGCAATATTATTTTAAGAAAAATATTTCTTCAGATGAAAAAGGAATTTTTATATAATTTGTCTTCATTTTTTTTTTTTTTTTTTTTTTTTTTTTTACAATTTTAATTAGAATCATGTTGTTATTAAATAAAACTATATTTGCCAATATCGTACATCTTATTACAATCTGACGCCCCAGAGTATTTTTTAAAATAATTTTGAATTGTTTTTGTATGTGTATAAACGTGCTTATTTTTGTAGATACGGTCGATCATATACGGCATTATAAGGAAATAAGAGCAATATAAGGAAATAACTTTAGTAAATTTAAAGATGTAATCTACAAAACTTACTGAAATAAATTTTAAGAGAAGTATCTTTTATTTTTGGAAGTTTTTTTTTAATGAAGAAAATTACATCTTTATAACAGTTTGCTAAAAATGGCGCGAAATTCAAAAATGTTAGAAATTTCAAAACGAGAACTCCTTCCGAACAATTTAAATTAGTGTTGAAATGCAGCATCGTATTTTGCTTATTTAAAATATTAACTTTGATGTAGCAGCTTTAAATCAAAACTAAAATAAAAGCTTCAAGAAAGTTTTTTCATTTTTTTTTTAATTCATTTTAAACCTTAGGTATCGCGAATCTGTAGAGGTATTTTGTGTATGAAGGTTCTTTCTAGGTTACGACATCATAACTTCTACCGGGAGTTTGGTGAGATGTGCAAACTCACGATCACTTTTATTGGAGATTCTTTAGCAAATCTTAAATATATAATGACCTGTGCGACATTAACAACTGATCTATTCATCTAATATTTAATTGATTCATTTTCTACAGTTTATGAACCCTTTGCGAATTATTTAAAGCCAGAAATCATTTTTAGATGTATAAGAATTCATTTTTTTTTTTTTAGATAATAATGGTTTAGTGATATATTTTGTTAATTAACCCATAGCTGGAGAGAAAAGAGGTGGATTCATGCCTTTCCCAAAAGTTTTGGCGCGCAAGTATAACGAACACAACGGGAATTGGATCTCGGCTCTCCGATTAACAATTCCGAGTCATCATCAATTGCACCACCCGCACATCAGAGTTTACAACTCCTGATATTCGCAAGCCGTCAGCCATCAAGGTACTGACCAGGCTTGATGTTGCTTAACTTCGGTGATCGATCTTTTAACGTGATGTGGCCATAAACCCCTAATATTTTAACAAGTGTGAACGTTGCGCCTTGACAGATGACGGTAAGTGCGACATTGAGATCTGTAGACGGATTGGAATGGCCAAGGGTGCATTCCAAAAGCTGATCAGAGTACTGCGAGACAAGAGGATGTCTTTGGTAACAAAGAAAAAAAGAATACTGAGTTGTTACGTGACATCTGCCCTTCTTTACGGCTGCGAATGTTGGACGATTTCCTCAAAGATGAAGAAGAAACTCGAGGCGACGGAGATGTGGTTCTACAGAAGGATGCTAAGGATATCATGGACCGAGTGTGTGAGCAACGATGCGGTCTTAGAGAGGATGCAAACAAGGAGGAGGCTTATACTTAACGCCAGGAAGCGGCAGCTGATGTTTATGGGTTACATAATGAGGAAGAAGGGCCTGGAGAATCTGATACTCACGGGTCGAATAGAGGGGAAAGAGAAACAAGGGAAAGCAGCGCATAACATACCTGGCGAGCTTGAGCAAGTGGATGACAGAACGTGGTCTGGGAGAGGAAGCAGAGGGAAGGAACTTGTTGAGTGCTGCAAGGGATAGAGGGAGGTGGAGAGCCATGATCGCCTACGTCCTGAAAGGATATGTCACAAAAAAAGAAAAGAAAGAACGTTTTAATTATTAATTAATTGTACTACTATTGTGGCAGTCAGCCTATAAGATGCTTGACTTGCATGAGTATTTGGGAGGTTACTTCTCACAGCAACTCATACCTTTTAGAGTTGTCCATATCGAATTTCGGTCGAGGCTACCTAGTTTTAATAACAGCTCATTTGACGCTAGTTAATATTTCTATTATTTTTCTCTTTAAATATGTGTCTATCTCTACAAGACACGTGATCTGAAGATCGCTTATATATAATTAGAAATAAGCATTTGCCCGTGACCTGCAGGAAGATAATGAAATTCTATTGGGTGTTCATATATGAATTTCTCAGTTCATTTAAGAAGATTACCTTGCTTTATTCTTCATGACTTGGACTTTCTTTCGCCTTAAGGCAAATAGTTTTTTTTTTATGTTTCTGAAGACGTGGCCGATTGCAATTCCTCCTTTATTAAACACCTCATTTCTGAATTCAGTCCAATAAGATACGTGTTATGCTTCTATATATGCTTGAACACTTGGCAAGAACGCAGAAAAATACATGCCGAATAGTCTGGTCATGTTATGCGCTGATTCATATAAGGGACAATACTCGTGATTGGCATATCTTCAGGCAATAAAAGATGATGTGTCAGAGGCTATATCTCTTTTGACATTGCTTCTTTGACCGGCAAGTTTTATTAAAGTATTAAATAGAACGATATTGCTACAAGTAGAATCTCATCTATCCAAGCGATGACATTTTTGATAAATTTGTCTCCTCTTTCATCAAATTTCTAGCCTTTTGATCCCTACCAGTCTGCGATATGAAAACAATATGCAAATTAAAAATCAGCCTCTGCGTGTTTGGTGCACGTGCGGTCTATTTTCTATAGAACGTGGGTGATCATGGCTCTTCACATCTTCCTTTCTTTTGTTGTTTCTCTCAGACACCTTTAAAACCCTTCTTTCTCTTTATGATACCTCTTTTTTCTGTTAGCAAAATCCTGGTGCGGATTGTGAGTGTTAAATTCTCCAAGCCTTTTATCCTCGTCATGTATCCCCGGGGATTTCCCCGTATGGCGTATGCTCTGTCCGAGGTATTATCAACATTCGTCGGTAAAACCGGATTTTTATCGCTTCATTTTTTTTATCTACATTATTTGTTTATATTTTTATTTTTTATCTACCTTATTTGTTTATATTTTTATTTTTTATCTACCTTATTTGTTTATATTTTTATTTTTTATTTACCTTATTTGTTTATATTTTTATTTTTTATCTACCTTATTTGTTTATATTTTTATTTTTTATCTACATTATTTGTTTATTTTTTATTGTGATGACATCGTCCCGTTTTCACTGCCATATAAAAATGGATAGACATCACGTAGCAGTCTAACACTATTGTCTTTTGTTTCGAAATTTACTTTTTAAGTCTCCTAATACCTTGATGCCTTTATAAAAAGTCAGTTATGTGTTATGCGTGATACGCGCTTAGGCGATCATATATCATTCGGTAGGCAGATATGACGAGGCAGTTTATCCCGCAGTAGGTTGCCATTTCTTTCTGCGGTAGACCAATTGCCATATGCAACGCTATAGAATCCGTTCTGTCCTGCTATTTACCCATAGCTGGGGAGAGAAGAAGTGGATTCATACTTTTTCCAAGGGTATTAGCACGTAAGTGAATGTAACTGATTCGGCTGGAATTCGAACTCGGTTCTATTGTAAACAAAAAAAAATTATCCTCTTTTGAAAGATCCTGTTGTCGTGTTGTTTACCCTAAACTGGTTGCTGGGCTACGGAGAGTAATACGTGACATGATCCAGACACTTTGCTTGTTATTCTTTAACATTCCACCTCGAATGGCTCTTTGGCCTTGTACAATGCGTGATATGATCTATTAGGAGAGTAAGCAAACTAATCCCACCCTCAGTCTAAAGCCGGTTCCTTTTTCTATGATGATAATCATTTGGTTACCCTAACATTCCAGAGAGCAACAAGCATCGATAAATGTATTCGGCATCTACAAATGTTTGCTCATAAATTGGAATTCGAACTCGGCTCTCCGATTCCACAATCCGAGCCGCTGTCCATTACTACACCGTATGAAAAGTACCCTTCTGTATTCATTACGTCATTACTTTATAATAATAGACAAAAGAAAGATGAAAACACCAATATTACAGTGCATTGAAAGCATCTTCATCGGTGTAATATAAAATGAGTATCGAGTGTCAAACGGCAAAACAATTACAATATAGACACGATAGAAACAATGACTATAAGAGTAAAAGATATATAATATAATACGTTCACGTAGTCGATATAGGTGTTACTTATGCGTGTGCTGCGGTGCTCTTCTCTTTAAGTAGGTTTACGTCCATATCGCGTTGAAACACCTGTTCTCGTACGATCACCAATGTTGAGCAACGTCGAGCCTGGTCAGAACTTAGATGGATGACCGCTTGGAAATACCAGCTGCTGTAAGCTTGGTATCGTGTAATAAATAACGGCTCGGAATTATTGATCGAAGAACCGAGTTCCAATTCCAGTTGGGTTCGTTATATTCACTTACATGCAAATACTGATGGAAAAAGTTCCAATCCAGCTCTTCTCCCCTTCCAGCTATAGGTTAATTAGTAAGACTGGTACCATTAAATCATTATTATCTCCAAATAAAAATTCTTACAATCTAAAAATATTTTTACAAAAGGTTGATAAACCGTGGAAAACGAATCCATCAAAATGTGTTCAAGTGCTGGATCAGGTAGTGAAGCGCTATTCAGCAGGAACGAACAATAACTGTCATCACAGGGGCCAAAATAACACACTAATGAACAGATATTCCATATGAGCCAAACAATGGGCACCTGCTGATGACCAGTGGGTACTTGGTCGAAACGTTTTGTCTATAACAACATCTTTATCAAACAATATGAAAACAATATTTGGAAATAATACAAGTATAAAGAGAAGAATAATATAAAAATTTTGAAAAGTCAATTATCCTTTCAAAAGCAACATCGTCATTTTAAGTCTTAAACTCGACTGTTTAAAATAAATTGTTTTGAAATGTCAGGGTTTTTTCTTATTATTTAACTTTATACGAAGAAAACCGATTTCTCTAAGATCTTTAAGGCAGTTAATTCTTGAATTTGACCTTAGAGGAAATATTTATATTTTGATATTATTTTCGAGATGTAGAGGTCTTCAAAATGTATATTGTTTACTGATAACATGTAACCTAGTACCACCTGCCGTTATGTTTGGATCATCAGTGACTAAAGCGGTTTCTCATCCAAACGTTTCTTTCTAGACACCTAACTGGGTTAAAAAGAAAAACAATATTTGTCAAAAGGCGGATGAACTTTCTTTCTAGGGTCAACGGCCATCTAGGACTCCGGTGTTTGGTAGGCTATGAAGGGTAACGGAGAGCGCAGATTTTTCTCTAATAAGATTTCTCTAATATTTAGGCCTGTAGACGAAAATAAATATACTTTAATAAATAAATAGAATGTCTACTCAAATACGGGTATACATTAAAATAAGTAACGTTTAAGTAATAAAATCTGATTAATAAATTTTTAAAAATCCATCCCTTACTAATATATAATGCTTTTTTAATGGATACTAGGTTGGGCTCATATTTTTTTCTAACAATATTTCTCGAATATTCAGGCCGGTAGAGGCAAATAAATAAATATACTGTTTAATAATAAAACCAGCGGTTCTAGTGAAATATGAGTATCCATTAAAAATAACATTTAAACAAATAAATTAAAAATATGTCGGATTTAATCCATTTCCTAATATTTTCATATTAGAATTCCTGTCCGTGCGCATTTTTGTATTAGAATTCTTGTCCGGTGCATTTCCATATTCGAATTCCTTTTCCGGTGCATTTTCATATTCGAATTCCTTTTCCGCTGCATTTCCATATTAGAATTCCTTTTCATATTAGAATCACCGTACAATGGATTTTCATAGATTTTGGATTAGCCAATTTAGTGTGGTTGATCATTACTACTGAGTAATGAGTTTTATCCTCATTGGGAGCCCAATATAAACTTGGGTAATAAATGACCCATCGTCCTTACACATCATGTCAACTAACCTATCACTGAACTGTCTATTTCCATCAAGTAATACCTACCTTTTTTTTAGTTTTCATATTTATTCTAAAATATATATTTCAATTTACTTAATTATTACTTAGTATCTTACTATTACTTACTTAATAATAAATGTCACGAAATCTAAAAATATTGTAGCTTCTGTAAATGTGTTGTCTGTAACTTTGAGGCGAGTCATTAACATATCAACATTCTTCGGGTAGTTCAACCATTTTCTTGCATTCTTGATGCCAATTCAATGATCGACCCTCTTCGGGTGTTACATGAGATTAGAGGTAGCTTTTTCCTTCAAGGATTAACCAAAATGGCGAGTAAAATCGTTCAGTCATGTATCTATCATAATAATCTATTTTCAGGGCTTTTGGCAAACCAAGAACTTTGGTAATCACATATTATGCCAAGTTAGGCGGCGTTCCCTAACAACGTTGCTCAGAAAAGAAAACGAAAGACTCAAGTGTTAAAATCAATACTTGTCGATATTTGCCGCCTCCTTCAATTTCCTCACTCTCCTGCTATCTTCCAAATCAATTATCTGGAAGAAGGCTGAATAGATCAGTGTAAGCGTCGTGCATGATGTACATAAAGAGATTTTGATTAGATATAAAGTAGCTTCCAACGTGACATGAACTTACGCGCCACACCAACAAAAATCATTTATGGACGTTGACTTTATCAGTTCAGCCACGGAAGCTTCGGTAATTAAACAGAACACAAACCAACTTCTTTCTCTTCCATTCTCTAAGCCCTATTTTACTGCTGAGCAGTAGAAAATTTCTTTAAAGATCACCATCTGCTGATTGACAAGAAAAAAAAATGGACGGTTCCGCTCTAGTATAGAAAAACGTCTCGTTTTTATCTATTTATCGATCTATCTGTCTGTGTTTATATATATATATATATATAATTTAAATAAAAACAGACCACTTTAAAGTTCCATGTAATAAATTATTTCACCACAGCTCTTTTAAAAGACTGCGGATCATCAGACTTTACTTCCAAAGGTTGAAACAAAAAATGAAAAGAAATTTACACATTTTTGACGGACCGTATAAAGTGAGAGGGAGAGAGAAGGCATGAGTTAGATGTAATTTGAAGTTTCTATACTTTCATACTCAAAATTAATTATTTCGCCTCCTCCTTGGGTTTACCCATACAGATTACCTAGTTTTTCATAAAACACACACACACATATATATATATATATATATATATATATATATATAATTATAGATAACTAGACTCGTTTCGAAAAACCCTCGAATTTTTCATTTGCTAATAATCAAATCAATCTCGAGGGGAAAAAAAGGTTTTAAAAAAAGAAAGAGCTACAAACATGAACTTCTGCCGACAAAAAAAACATCGCACAGATGCAGGTCTGAAGCCCAAAGAAAAAACCCCGATACGAGTAACAACTAACTAACAAAAGAGCTCAATACAACCGTAGAGCAGATAAACCTAGTGAGTCAGACAAACCTACCTAAGTTTCACCTAAGCAGATCGTCAGGGGAAAGTAAGGCTCTTACTTTCCCTGACGATCCGTTTAGGTGAAACCTAGGTAGGTTTGTCACTAGATATATATATATATATATATATATATATATATATATATATATATATATATATATATATATATTAATTTAAATAGAAAACAGACAAACTTAAGGGTCTTTAAGGTTGTCTGTTTTCTATTTAAATTGAATTAATAATTGATTTGGCATTGAGCCCTCTGGATTACATGCGCCTTGTGATTATCGATACGGATTACCAAACTTTTCATTACTTATATATATCCCTTATTCAAATTTGTAATATTAACAACCAAAATGATCGTATAAGCATCAAAAGTGAATGAGTCAAGTGCTCATGATACTCTGTCCTTTGACACCAACGGTTAAATATTCGGGCGCAATCGTATCTGCGAATAATTTTGCTTCCTTGAAGGAAAAAAGTCATTCTTGGTTTTCGCCTTAATAAAACCTGGATGATTCTCTTCCTTTACATTGAGTCCTGAAGTTAGATAGATTGATTTGCTAGATAGCTAGGTGGTTCTGAACGGAGATAGATAGATAGGTGGTTCTGAGATAGATAGATAGATAGATAGGTGGTTCTGAGATAGATAGATAGATAGATAGATAGATAGGTGGTTCTGAGATAGATAGATAGATAGGTGGTTCTGAGATAGATAGATAGATAGATAGATAGGTGGTTCTGAGATAGATAGATAGATAGATAGGTGGTTCTGAGATAGATAGATAGGTGGTTCTGAAAATTAGGTTGTTATGAAGAGATTGAGATTGAAATGAACATGTGGTATGTTTTAACAATATAGTAAAATTTTGAAGGTGTTTATATAAAATGTTTTAAACATACACTTTAATCTGGTTTTCATTAGAGAAATCTTTCTTCATCAACTCTTTTTGCAGACATCGCAAAAAGCAACAGACAGATTAATATGGCGGGTGAGGCAGAACAAACCTACCAAGTTCCAATTTTTTTTCCTCTATCATTCTTACTGTTTTTGGCCTTGGCTGTCATTAAGAAAAATATATTCCTACTGATGAATACAATGTTCTTTACGCCAAGACTTTATAGTTACAGCTGCTGATCGAACAGAGTTCGAATACCTACTGCCAACGCTCTTATACACTTTACACTGATGTTATTTCGAAAGCTAACAACGTTTTGTCCCATTAAAAGATATTCTGATAAAGCCTTGCAACCGCCATGTTAAGATGGTTGCCCGAGTCAGTTGATGAGCACTTAGGTTCTGTTAAACTTTCCATTCATGACTAACTTATCCGCTTTGTCAATAACAACGCACGCAGTTAAACTCATTGTCCACCTCGACAGAGGTCAATCAATCGATTTATTAATAAGATCCTGTTTAATACGGATGCGGGTTTATTTTTAGTGATTGGGTTTGCTTTTATCTTGCCTTCTAACATCTTTTGTATTAATTCCAAATTACGCGTCGATTTTCCTGCTCTTGAAATCTATTTGTTGTTTCCCGAACTCTTGTGCGCATGTGTTTATCAAAACTCACTTTAGTCTGAGGCACGGTTATAAGTGCAGGGCATTTAATTAGGTTATGTCATAAGGTTTGGAAGAACCAATTATAATGACGAACGTATCATCCTTACCACTATTCCATATATGGCCGTTAAGAATAAATTTGGAGAACATTAGATGCCTGAGATTTTTTTTACGGCACTGGCAGTGTACGTAGCGGATTAAAGAATACATTTCTTAGCCCCCAAAATAGATTGAAAATGCATTTAATCATCATGGGAGTTCAAGCAATGGAACAATAGACGTGTAGAAAAATATGTAGTGTTCATGGTCATGGATAGATAATTGACCGATAAGTACGAAATTCAAGAAACGTTGTCAGAAGGCAAGCAGAGGCCGGGGACCTCATCGGGCACTGATCATGTTTTAAATCCATTAATGGAAAGCAGATCACGGTAAAGTAGTCGGGAATTAGCAAAGATATTAAACCCATTACAATGTGTCATACGTTGCTACTTAGAAAAGATATAAAGTTAAGCTGGGTGTGTTGTATCACACGCTATTATTGAAAGGAACAAATTGAACCGTTTATCAATAACAAGACTCCTTTCGCGAAAGAGAAATAACTCGTTCTTCAAAAAGTGCGGATGGTTCTGCACGAAATCTTCATCACTATAATCAAATCTTATGTGCTGATGTTGGGCTGTCGCTTTCCTAGAAACTCATCTGCCTGACCCTCATACGTCGAATTCGATGAGAGAGTCGAGTGTGTGTGTGTGTATATATATATATATATATATATATATATATATATATATATATATATATATATATATATATAATTTTTAAAAATATGATTTCTACTCTGCATAAGAGTTCTCAGGTTTCAAACATGTCTTGAAACATGAGAAATCTTATGTAGCGAAGAAATCATTTTTTTTTTTTTTTTAAATAATTATAATTTAAGCTCTACTTCTGTATGGAGAACTGTTTTTTAAAAATAGAAAAACAAAAATACTAAAGAAGTCCGGATTATTTACCTAACGTGTTCTTCCCTCTTCTTCTACATACACACACACATATATATATATATATATATATATATATATATATATATATATATATATATATATATATATATATATCATAACATAAATGATGGTTTACATACGATAATATTCAAACCGATTGACTAGAATAACTCTCCACAGTCGACCCCTAAAGTTGAGCTCTATGCAAAAATGCTAATGTTATTCTTGCGGTATGATCGTCGAAGTATTATTCAGATTTCTTAGAACGCAAAAAAATGACTAAATCCATTTTATCTTTCCAGCAGCTGCAACATGTCCATAGGTTTGGTCGAAATGTTCTTCCGCATGAAAACACAAGGACGTGTGCAGCAAGAATAATACGGAAAAAAAATTGGAACTCTGTTCTATCCCACCCGTCATATTCAACTGATCTTTTGCGATTGCAACAAAACGCTTTGGTGGTTAGGGAAAGGAAAACATTCTTTAATGAAAAACAAATTCAAGTGTTTGTCGAAAACTTTTTTACGTGAAAACATGCAGATTTTTTTTTTTTTTTTTTTTTTTACAGAAAAAGGTATCAAGGCGCTGCTTCATAAATGTTCCTAGATGACGTTGAGGCAGTACAGTAGGTGTGTCTTTGTGTGGTTGGTGATGTTCGTTATCACGAGATTAGAAGATTTAATTTTTTCCTGGTAAACTTTTCATCCAATATATTTATAACTTAACCTGGAAAAATGTACCGATGTATAAGGCTTTTCACATCTGTTTCCTTTCATTTATTATTGGGACACATTTTGTTGCTAAGGAATAGTATTATTGTGTTGTTTTTATTATGTCGTTATGAAGGTTAGTTTCGTTTGTCGATGACATTGATTTTCTTTGATTCGGTGTATCAACTATTTGCAGAAAATATTTTTAGTTTGTAAGAAATACTTTTTGGTTTTTACTAATATTTTTTTAGATCATAAGGATTTTATGGATACAAATCTTACTATTTAACCCATATCTGAGTCGAGAAGAGATGAATTCATACAATTCCAAATGGTACTTGCGCGTAAGTGACTATAACGAACCCAATGGGAATTAAAACTCGGCTCTCCGATTAATCATTTTGAGCCGTTATCCTTTACACCATCCGCACATCCAAGATTACAGCACTTTGTATTCCCAAGCGGTCACTCATCTAGGTACTGACCGGGTTTACCGTTGCTTAACTTCGGTGATCGTACGAGAACTGGTGTTTCAAGGTGATATAATCATAAGCCTCGACAATATAGGAAACTCGTTATTTGCATGTATTTGATGTCATTAAGTGGCTTGTAGAAGAGGCTATGGAAAGGAAAGATAAATTTGCCCTATCGATCGAAATGGTTAATAACGGCTACTTTATACATGTGCGGACATTTTTCTATTCTAAATGAAGTGTCAGGAGCTTGAAATTGCGTGGGTTTTATATACAGGGTGGTTGCGAAGGTGCACCTATTGAAGTCAACTAAGACACTTAAAACTTTCTTTTTTCGATGAGAATTTAGGAGAGAAAATCAAGGACTGAATTATTTTCGTAGGTCTTTACATTTTTTTTTTTTTCTTTTTTGTCCAAAGTTTATTAGCGAGGATAAAAATATTGTCGGTCTATTATATTTTGTGAAACCAGTAGTAACTAGAAAATAGAGGCACCAGTGGTGATCCCATCGAGACGCCGTCAACCTGGGTATAGATTTTGTGGGTGCGATCTTTCGGCACTCGCCGGATCCAAATTATTTTGTTTTCTACTTTGGCTTGGACTGCCTGCACATAGCTGCTCTTTTTCCAGAACTCTCTTGCAGTGTTTGAGCGCAGTTCTGAATGAGGCACTAGTTCTGATACTGTTCGCACTGTTACAGATAGTAGTAGTGGTTGCAGTAGGACACGGTCGTAGCACATTCAAGTGGGAACTAAGGCTAGCTCGTAAACGATAAATTTCACCAACATAATTGAAAAAAAATTTACCTTAAAAATCCACAAAAGTCTCAAGTGTTATTATCCCCTGCCAGTACTGCATGAGTAACTGTTTAACAATTTAAAAGTCTCTAAATAATAGAAAATCTTGAACTTAGTTGTCATTGGTCTTCATTTAGTCCAATCTAGATTCAGAGCTTCGGCGTCAGACATTGGTCAACGAGGCTGGTATGATTGACTAATTACTAATAAGTACTAATAAATTAAAAATAAGTTCGATTCTTACCAGGTACCTCATACAGGGTGCAAAACAACACTGCCAACTGAACTCCGGGAAAATTAGGGACTTGTGACGACTCAGAAACGAGAAAACTCAGCACCAGAAAAAACATACTTTTATTCGGTTATAAGAAATTTATTAAGGATTAAAACCTTAATTAGTGAATATTTTTAGTTTTTATTAAAAATAAATCTATTCATGATTTACTTCATTAAAAATAATTTAAAAATATATTCACTAATTAAGGTTTTAATCATTAAAGTCATATAAAAAGAAAATGAGTGACTACCGACTCCGAGGTTCGAGTGTGACAATCAGAACTCATAAATATATTTTCCGCCAGGTGTATAAATAGCGGTGTCAGCCTACTGACTGGAGTGACTATTAAGTGGAACTATCCAGTCGAATTAGTGTGAATTATTGTGCATCGACGATTTGGGTTTTGATTTAGGATTTACCGGACATTAAGCCGAGCCGCTCTACTAACATGGTGTTCACTGAAATGGTTAATTATCTTTGGTTGACTTTTTGTTCTTAAGTATTTATTTGAGGTTGTAATTAAATACTGTTTTATCTTAACATTTAAGTCTTGAGTTATACTTAATCATTAACAACCACTGTACGTAACAAAAATTAATAAGTTATTTTTATTTGATTATGAAACAAAGTTATGTTTTTCTGGTGCTGAATTGTTTTAGTCCTGAACTGTCCCGGTGCTATGTTGGCTGTATTGAGTTTGCAGTGTTGAATTGTCCCTTCCTGTCCCATACATACTGATGTTTGTTTTGTTTTTTTTAGTGGTGGGGGGGTGTATTGAAAAAGTAATATTTCAGATTAATAGACTGTCATTATCCAACCGATAAGAATTTGTTTAATACGCATCTTCTGGGGTTCAGTTGAATAAGAGCTCATTGTATGTCTGTTCGCTATGTAAATTTATACGAAGAGACTGCGGAACTGTTTTAGACTCAACCAAATTCTGACTAAGCAACTAAACGGGCTATTTGCGGTGTTTCTTTGTCAAACATCTCCGCAGCATACCCTCGGGTATAGAGTTTAACAAACAAAAAATAATGTTTCTCACCTCTTGATACTATTTAAAATCTACACTCGACTTGCTTTATTTTTCGATAACCGCATATGTGCTGTTTCTTTCAATTTTCTGATTTTCCATCATTTTCCGAATTAATCATTTTGACTTTCATTCCGAGGAAGAAAGTGTCAAAACATTAATAAGTAGGCTATGTGCACATTTCAGAACCATAAGAAACTAGTATTCAAAAGTCATTTTTAGTAATTAAGGCCTCCAATAACGAAGGACAACAAAAACCTATTTGAAAAGTTTCCGCTATGACACTATGAACGCGCACGTGAGGATGCAAAAAGATAAATACGGTTTTATTTTAAAACAAAAAACGAATGAGCACAGTTGAAATGAGGTTTTTAACAGTCACTCTTGGCATTTAGTTGGGCTTTAATGGTAATAGTAATCATTTCCTTATAAGGAACATTCAATATTCATTAATCGATAAGAAAGTGCTGATCGAGTTACGTTTTTTCGCACTCTGGCCATAGGGTTGGGATCAAAGTGTAGTATCTGTTCTTTTCATCCCTAACAGTAATGGTAACATTAGTTATTATAAGGAAATATTCGGCATTCTTTAACCGAGCAGCCAGTGCTACTGGTGGTTGAAATTTTAAAAATCTTTCCTTTTAAAGAATCTCTCAGGAAAATATTTTTTTTAATTCATTGTTATCACTCTTTCTGAGATTGTTGACAGTTTCCTTCTTAATCTTTTGTTGTGGAGCGTCAACATCTTGATTGTCATTTTTTCACCACGTTACATGCGCTATCCATTTGAGTTGTTACTGTTTTGAAAGTCCTCAAGTTACTGTTATATGGTTCTTTGTGGTTCTGTAGCGCCAATCCATAAGGTTGAAGATTGTCCTCTTTAAAACCTATAGATTTGAAGCCACCTGTTAACTCTTGATCTGAGTAAACGGGGGAAAACGTTATATATATGTGTGTGTGTGTATGGGGGACTCTCCCATCGTTTACGACGTATGATGGTCCAGCAACTCAGTTCTTAGAATTGAACAGCCAGACTATCTGCACATATAATTTGATTATAGCGATTAGGGCTTATACAGAAAGAAGAAAACTTTTTGGAAGAACCGAATACAAAGCACATAATGATCACCCCAGCTTTTGAATTCAGTTTTCCTTCCCATCGATTGGTTGGAAACCAAGATTATAGGGCTCAGTCGGTCCTGCTATTTACCATAACTGGTGAGGAGAAGATGGATTCAGAAGTTTCCCAACGATAAGTGCGCGTAAATAATCTAATGACCTCGATTAGAATTCGAACTCGACTCTCTATGGGAAGCTATTTCCATCACAAATGTTCTAACTAGTTTCTTTCCACCAGACTTTCACGGCTAAGACCCGTTATGCCACATACACTGGGACGAACCATCCCTGTTCTCTTTGTATTCCATTCAGACAGCTTCTTCCCAAGAACCGTTGTTTCATGGACCAGACTCGTGAGGATGTTTCCCGATCACCACAATCTTAACCACTTCATCTATAATTAACCATTATAACTCTTGCATATCTTTATAATCTGTAATTGTTACCGCCTCCTTTTACGTCCAAACAAAAACCTCATTCAGTAACCTTCTACCTTGAGTGGCTCTTGGGCTTTGGATTTGGTGAACAGTTAGTAAAAAAAATTAATTTGCCGTATATACTCACGTATCATGCGACCTAATTTTGAGGTTAATTTGACAAGACGAATATATAATACGTTCGGCTGGGGAGTGAAGTATTCAACATTTGATAATTTTGCGGCAATACAAGCTTAGAGGTTTTAGGCAGTTTTGATCAAAATATCTTTTCACGGTTAGCTGTAAGGCATTCTAAATGCAGGAGTACCTTAAATATAAGTAAAATAATATTTATTAAGAATTTTTTACAGGAAATGTCAAATTTTATGGAAATATTGTTGGCAATTATCTATTTAGTTACATAACAAATAAATAAAAATAATATAAATTTTGATGCTATATTTGATTTCTTGTCAGATATTTTTCATTTTCTCCTTTGTTATTGGCAGCATTTTAGAATATCTTGGCTGCAAGGCTAAGTTTCCTAAGCTGAACAAACAGGAGCTATTTCATTTACGCTTTGTTACCTCTCTTTTCCATTGTTGTTTTCAGATCGCTTTCTTCCAGTCATTTTTGATGGGCAATAACGAAGTTCAGAAAGATCTTATTCCATTTCGGTATTTATCATTTCACCCACGGGAAACGAATATGGCACAAGGCCGGTTTTATTGTGGGTTTCTCCGAGACCGTAGGCTCGGCCAAAAAAATAGCCTTTTGAAGCCGATTAGACGGGTTCAGGCCCTGTCTACCTCCCCGGACGAAACCTTGCCCTTCGGCAAAGCCTCGTCCGGGTTCCTCTCTGCTAACGCAGAGAGTTCGACAGACGTCGGAAGTCAGCTCAAGAACTTCTCTCAAGATCTTATTCCATTTCAAAAACAAAGTCTGTATAAAGGAGTATTTTAAATTAATATACGACCAAAAATAAAATGCTTTTGACAAAAAACCTTAATGATTTCACTATAAATATGTAACAATAATGTAATGATATTCCGCAGGCAAATCTACGGTTTATCTCATCTCATGGTTACGAACTATAAACAGAGCTTGAAACATTATGTAATCGGCTCTAATTTTTTGTAAAATAATTCGATATGATATTATGAATAGTTTGCAGTGAAAAAAGTAATTTTCGAATTTTTACCGAATACGTCTCTCCTCCTTCGAACGAGTCGTATAGTTTGGTTAACAGCATAACCAGCTTCAGCAGTAAATACGCTAATTTTAAATCTCGTGTATGACGCGACCCGCTGAAAATTAGCTTCAAAATTAAGTCTTTAAAAGATCGCATGATACGCGAGTACATACGGTAAATTAAAATATTTAGGTTACTGGGTGTTTCTCTTTGTCTTTCTTATCTTCCATATATCCTATGAGTA